ATTTCCATGCAGAATACAAGACTGCATGTGGTCAGGCTTTAAGCAGAAATTTGTGAAATAAAATAAACATGTTATTTTGATGAAGCATTCACATGCTGTGATAAACTTGTGCCAGGACATTCCTGCCAAAGTTAGCAACTAATCAGGTGTTCTGATGGAAAACACACCCTCCAGTATCATTATAACCCGGATGTTGTGCCTTCTGTAAAGAGAGTGTTTTGTAACCCAATGCTTGTGTTTAGCAAGCCAGGCGACAAGTAAAGGTCAAGAGGCTAATGTTGTATTCTTCAGAAATGACTATGCTGGCTCCACCCTTCTGTCCTTCCCTCAGTCCTCAATCACACACATTTCCTGCTTGTAAAAACTACTGCTGCATGATAATTTGGGATATCAATGAAACTAATGTTTACCTGTATGCAAAATAAGCAAAGCCAGCTCGTATGTTTTTGTTTTGTGTCTTCAAGTCAGTGTTGAATCCTGGCAACTGCCTGGACTAGTCTCTGCAGTTTTCCTGGCAAGGTTTTTCAGAAGTGGTTTGCCACTGCCTCCTTCCTAGGGCTGGCCCACGGTCACCCAGCTGGCTTTGTGCCTAAGGCAGGACTAGAACTCATAGCCTTCCAGTTTCTAGCCTGATGCCTTAACCACTATACCAAACTGGCTCTCCACACTCATATGTATCCTTCTCTTTTCCCATAGTTTAAGATTGCTTATTCTTATAGAATATAAATAGAAGTGAAGAATTACCAGTACACGTTGGAATATAAAAATAAAGATTTGAAAGGTATCCTATTAGTTCTGAGTACAAAAGGATTCTAAAGAAGAGGAGGATCTAATACTCAAATTGTGATCCTCTTAGGGTCTTAGGCATCAGTGGAATTAATTATAATCCAGTCTTATGTAAAATCCAATAGAACAAAAGAAAGAAGAACTGTAGATTGGAATGAGTGTGTTGTGTATGTGTGTGTGATCGATCGATTGATCTACCTGCCTACCTATCATATCAGCTTCACAAGAAGACTGAGAGAATATGAAGTATTTAAATACATAAAAGCCTATATGTTGTTTCCTACAACATACAATGTACATTATACTTGATAACTTTACTGCCCTCTACAGGATCTTCATACCAATTGCCAAGAATATAATTTATTCTTTGGTATAGATAGAAAAGAGTATTTTCAATAATTGTTCCTGCACACTGTCATGCTTCCAAATAAAAGAGCATTACAATTTTCAGATGTTCAAAAGTATGGATGGGGAGTGGGATGCTCCCACCCTACTTTCCCCAGTATTTACGAGGAAGGTTTGAAGAATGGCAGCAACAGTATTTGGCTGAATATGGTCATATTTTATGCTGAGAATTGTAAACAAATTCAGCAAAATGGCCAAACATTTTCATTCTTTCCTGATGAATACTGGGAAGTTGGGATTGAAGGGCATCACATGGTTTATCTTCTGTCCATGTTTATTATTTTTGAATGCCCACAATAGATTTTTGAAAGGGTTCATTACCTTCCTGCAATTTTTGTGAATGACATGTGCAAGGTAAACAAAATATATTAATTAGATGGTTACAAGATCCTAAAAAAAAATATTTTAAAAAGTTCTTGCAGCTGTATCCTACATAGTTTACTGAAGAATGCAAAAATAGGATGGGGGAGGAAAGAGAAACAAGAAAAAAGGCTTGAGAAAATGCATAAGGCAACAACTGTGTATGTATATATATCTTTGATACTATACAATAATTTCTTAGCAGGATTTGTTGTTGCCTTAACTATTTATTTTATAAGTCACTTGATTGATAAAATGTCAATACAGTTTGGTGAGGAGATAGAATACATGTGTGAAATAACAGTATAAAGGATAAAAGATAGAACAATGAATCATTGAATAATGTCTAAAATATAATAAAATTAATAACCATTATGTTAGGAATTGAACACAGGGAGATACTAACATGCAAGTAATTATATAATAATAATACTAATAATACTAATACCAACAAGAGTAATATAATTACTGAATAACATTTATTATTATTCAAATAATTAATTCCTTTTCTTTTGGGGGGGAAATTTATTTCTAAACTTTGTAACAGTAACATTATACCAAGAAATAAAGGCACTAAAATATTAAAATAAAAGATATATAAGAGATCAGAAAAAGAAATATTTTTTTCTGAAGCAACAGAAATATCAGCAGGACTACTATTATTAAATATATAGCAATAATAGAGAGAAATTTGGTTCCAAATTGGTTCCAAATCCTGATTTTGACATAAACACTTAACAGCATTAATCACAAAAACATCAGTGGACATATAATACTGAACCACGAGTAACAGAGATGGGGGATATGATAGGAGAAGAGAAAATGGGGAAAACAAAGAGGTGGTACATGCGATCCTAAACTCATTTGGAGATCCTTCAGATGTATGGGAACTGCAACTCCCCAAACTCTCAGCAACATTATAAATCTCATCTCATTCTTTTTGCATAACAAAAATATATCCATGCACCCTTACAGACCTATTACAACTACAGCATTAGAGAAGCTTTGCCCAGAAACTGAAAGACAAATTGAAATGAAGCTAAAATGAACTGTCTTTACCAGTATATGCTACTTAACAAACACACACACACACACACACACAAAAACATGGAAGATAAAACCAGCTGACAACCTCTGAAGGTCTTACCTTCACTCTATCACCATACACATTCCCTGTAAAGTACAGGCATTTTTAAAAAGTGCCTTAGAAACAATCCACCACAGAGATGCTCCTGTGTGTTTTGGAAGAGATTACATAGATGGCAATCCATTTTTGTTTGTATATTTATTTTAGGAGGCTTATATGCTGCTTCAGTCATATCAGACTCTAAGCAGCTTATAGACCTTCAACAGTAATAAAGTTAAAAACTAAAAAACATAATATAGACTACTCAAATGCCTAGAAATAACCATCCATTCATCTTCAGAAGGGCCAAAAACCACCTTTCAAACCCTGAAGGCCCACTGAAACATCTAGGTCTTAATTGCTTTATAACATCTAACAGAGTTGGGCATCATCTGGTGGCAGGGGAATGCTGTTCCAGAGAAGAGAAGGCAGCAACTGTTAATTGCCATGTCTGGTTAAGGGATAGAAACCCCTATTATTAATCAGAAGAATGCTGCCAAAATATAGTTGAAATGTTAAAATAGTCAAGTACACATTTCACATGAAACAATGATTTATGTCTTCAAAAACTTAGAAGTTATCCATAGATCACCATAGCATAAGCAACATTTCTATACTAAGAGAACAATTGGCTGTAACACGTGCAAGAATGGTTCAGAGTTACGGACCATATATTACTCCCAAATCCTTAAGAATTGTATCCAACAATGAAAACATATGCCACAGTGCTGTATACACGACACACAATTCTATCTTGTGCACCAGTTACAATGATTACTGGATCAGGAGACCCTGCTCAAAGTCACTCATGCCTTGGTCATTTCAACTGGACTACTGAATTATCTCTATGTGGGGCTGCTCTGAAGACCACGTGGAAGCTAAGCAGCTAGAGCAGTTAAGGGCACCTGGTTTGCCCAAGTAACAGCACTAGCACTGCTGCAAAAGGTGCTCAGATTACAGTTCTCCTCAGAATGCAATTCAAGGTGCTGTTGTCACCTTAAAGCTCTACATGGCTCAGAACCTGGATATCTGAATCTATAGAACTGTCTACTTCCAGGAGTTTCTGCCCATCCAGTAAGAATTAGTAAGGAAGGCACCCTTTGCATGCTATTCTTGAAGGACTGCCATTATCAGTGGGGTGCTATGAGGATGTTTATTTTCTGCAACTGCCCATCTCCTTTGGAATAGTGCTCCAGGTCAGCATCAGCCCCACTGTAATGGGAAGTAGGAACAACCCTGAGGAACAGGAGGATGACCCACAACCAAAACAACAGTCAGATAAAAGAAATTTGAGTCCAAGGCAGAAATGCAATCTGAGAAAGCGTCTCAGACTTGAAGATAAAGGGAAGGAGTGGGGGCGCTCATTCAGACTTGCAAGAGTCTGCAACTGTAACCTTATAATAAAAGTAGTATTAACATTCATAACTTTGGTTTCCTAGTCTGGTCTACCTTGAAGGGCTGACACCTACTGGCATCCAGGAAAGCTGCCAAGACCTGACTATTCTGGAAAGCCTCTGGGGCTTCATGGTATGGTGGGTCCCCTCTCTGCAGTAGGTCATTGTTGCTGTTAATATTGCTTTCTCTGATGTTTCAGTGTTTAGGAAAATGACTACCACTGGGTTGGTTTGTTTGTTTCCAATTCTATCTGACTTTGGGATTGTTGTAAGATGCTCAGAGCAATTTTAGAATTGAGCAGTGTATAAACTGCAGATAAATAAATAAGGTTATATAAACAGAGTGTGGGACTAAATACTATTTTCATATTGCTATCTATTTTACAGAGGGTATGTCCTTCTATTCATTCAAAAGCCAGTTGGTTATAGCGGTTATGGAGAACATCTTTTCATCAAACATCCTTTCGGCTATGAATCATCCTAGATAACTTTGGCTCTGCAATTTCTCTCAGGTTAACATATCTCTTGCAATTCTATCATGAAGAATAGAAACTCTGCACGCTACCCAAGTCTTTCAGAGGAAGAGCAGAAAAAAAAAAAGTAATTCAGTAATCTTGCTTATCTTGCTAGTGAGAGATAAAAGTAAACGGTGACACAGAGATGGCTTTTTTTCCTTCTTATCTGGATGTGTCTATTACTATGACATCTGTGCTGACATCACATTTCACAGGTTCTTAAATGCTTTACAGCATAGGCAAAATAGTCATTGATTAAAAATTGATTAAAAATATTTATAACATTTCTACAAAGTTTTCTAAAAATTAGAAGCCCAAATGCATTCTTCAACTGAATATCATGAGGAAATTCTGATATTTAAAAGTCACTGGCAAAATAAAGATTTGGGTAGGTGTCAGTCAAGCAATACTTACTGATCAGTGAGACTTCGCCATAACTGTGCACCTGAAACCAAAATAGGATAAATAATCAATGCAAAAGGCATTTTTCTATGTGGCCTAGAATATATTGCTTATGCGCCATCAAGTTGGTGTTGACTCTTAGCAACCGTTCTCTCTCTCTCTCTCACACACACACAAACACACACACATATAGTGACTTTTATGTGAGATGGGCAGCTATATAAATACAATAAATAAAATAAATAAATAAAATATATGTGTGTGTGACTCATTTTCAGATCATAATTAAGCTACACAAATGCAACATAGGAATTGGCTCTTGTAGCAAAAGAAATCACATATCACTAAACACGTATAAGCTATCATACATGCTTATGTGAATATGATCTTGACAATTTAGGAGCTGACATCTGAATATATCCTGGAATAAATCAGTCAATATGAGGCATTTCCCTTAGTGAGCCAATCAATTATCTAATCACAACATTACGGAATTCTTTTACTTATATGGCACCCAAGATAAATGACCTCAGAACCTTTATTTCTAAATTAGATGGACAAAGTGATACTGATTGACCCCAGACATTACTAATATAACTTTACATGCTAAAATAAGTAGAAAAGCAAAACTTTACCTTTTACTCTAGACAGCAACAATTCCTTCATCATCTGCATAAAGACTATACCAAGTAGTATGAGTGAAACCAGATGATAGAGTTTCCAAGGAGTCAGTGCTAGGAACCTGAAAGAGAATCATATTAGAATCATTTGACTCAGCAGACTTAGAAAGTCTTGCTGCCTAGAAAGCTACATGAAGTCATCAGGAATCAAAATCAACTTAAAAAAACCAAACTAACTTTACACTGAACTTAAGGTATCTCAACTGTTCTTTAATTCTGGACTAACTGTAGTTAGACACACAAATATACAGATTCCTTATTTTTTTTTAAAATTGACTTCTATACCATTCCTGCAAATTTAAAATGCACACAAATATTTACTAGTCTGCTTGCCAAGTTTAATAAAAAAAAAAATCAAGCTTCTGTGCTGTGTTGCCATTAAGCAAATGTTGTGTGAAAGGTAATATAATTTAAAGGAACTTTATAATATAAAAAATTGTTTCCTTCCCAACCCCTCTCAAAAAAGGAAAAAGCATTTTTTTACATGCCAAAAACAATGGATTATTTATACACCCATTCTTGTGATTTTATAAGAAGAATTACTGAATTTGTGGGGAAGGGAGGAAAATTAAATGCTATTTTTTTAATCTTACTCTAGATTTAAGTCTGCAGAAGCCACATCTTTTTATGAAGCCAGTGAGAAAATTCGTGCATTACACTATGACATCATGAAGTTTGTTTGGTTTAGCTTTAATGTGATGTGTGAGCCCATCCATTATGGCACTGCATTATGTGAACTAGATTCCATTATCTTGTCTGAGATATTTATTAAATAAACGTTGGCTTAGTGTGATGTGTGAATTCATGTCTTTGATGTGGGTTTCTAACACACAGTAAGGTTTTATTTTTGCCAGATATAATTACACAGAATGTCTTTATAAAGGAGCTAATCATGAATTCTTTGCAAATAATGTGTGACTCTTAAAAAAGAAAATACATGTTGTCATTTTCTAGTGGCATTTTCTTAAACGAAAAAGCAGAATCTGTAGAGTAGAGAAGCAGCTGCAAGAGAAGGTATATTACATTTCCTTGGACATCAGTTCCCTTTCCAAATGTATTAATCAGCTTCTTACTAGATTCAAAATATTATTTTTATGGAAAAGAGAAAGGCTGTAGCACTCTTCTGACTTGATTTGTTTCTGTCTCAGAAGAGAGTTTCATAGCTGATCCTAACTCAAGTATGGTAAACTGCAAATACTGATACTCCTTTTCTATTTTTGTTTAATTCATCTGTCAATGAAATGATATGAGTATTTGCAGGAGGCTAAAAAAGTTACTTCAGCAGAGAAGATGCTATAGAAACTAGTTCAGGTATTGGTTGTATCATTCTTGTATCAAGTAGTAAGTATATTAGATTAGCCAGAAGGCTGTGGTAGTTTAAGATACTACATTTAGAACATTAGCCAAAGATTTACCCATAACTTTAATTAAGTAAACATTTCAGAATGGTATTTCTTTAAAGAAAGCCATATACGATATTTTTGGGAGGCCTCAAATTCCTCTGTTTTGAATTATAATTGGTCTTGAATGTTTGATATTTCTGTAAGAAATGGACATAGTTACAACTCTGCACATAGTAAGACCTATTCAAAGCAATACAATTTAAGCAGCCTAACTATGCACAGGATGGCATCTCTTCATAAATTAAGCAACACAATTCCACTTCCTAAGTACATAAAAAGAGCCCTGCGGGATCAGATAAAAAGGCCCAACCAGATTTGGGAATCTTCCTTCCCAAATTTGACAAGCTTTTGGAGCAACATGTTATTCTGCTGTTCCTCCCCTGCACTTGGTACTAAGAGACATACTGCCTCTGAAGTTGTGTATTAGAAATCTTTTTATCTATCTTTTAAAGACTATTAAGATATTCCCACATTTTATGCAAGGCAATTCCAAAGCTAATTAAGGATTTTTTGGCTGTCCCAACTGCCATTCACTTTAACTGAACAACCCTGGATTCACACACTAGTTGAAAAAGTATTTCCTCTTTCCTTCCAGTCATGCATACATGAATAGAGATGGTACAGGTAGTCCTTGTTTAGGGACTGCCTTGTTTAATGACTGTTCGCAGTTATGACAGTGATGAAAAAGTAACTTTGCAACCAATCCTTGCATTTACGACCTTTGCAGGTCTGTAAAGCAAAGAAAAGCTGAAGTAAAATCAGGATGTTTAACTTAGCGACTGCTTTGCTTAACAACTGAATTGCCAGTCCCAAATGTGGTTGCTTAACAAGGACTACCTGTATTACACTTTAATAAAATGGTAAGCATCATGGTGCCCATGCATACCTTGCCTTTTGCTACATTTTGTCCTCCCAGCTTCAGTTTTTTAGGCGTTTTTTAATTAAAAGAAGAAATTGACAGAGTGAAACAATTTTTTTTTTAAGAGTGGGGGTTACGCCCCACATAGGTCCCATAGGCATTACTAGAAAATAAAATCAGGCAGGTTTTATGCTGCCATCCCATGTATTGTCTGGAAGTGTGCCCATGTGCCTCTTGGCCAGACATGGCAAATATACATCGTGGATGTTGATAATAAGTGGTGAAGGCTAGAGACAAAAATCCAAACATGTCCACTGATTCTCTTATGTTATTCATTTTTTTTCTAAGCTAAACTCCAAATATAGTATTTCTTTATGGTGAAATTGTTTTATCTTTTCTAGGTCTGCCATATCCCGTATTTTATTCCATATAAGAGAGAGATGCATATGCTAGCTCAAGGTTTTTCAAACCATGTTTGGTGAAATTTGATAGGATTCTGTGAGACAGGACAAAAAAAAAAAAAAAGTTAACTGGAATACAACTTTGCCTCTTCAGGGGTTCTGGGAAGTTTTGTTTTTTTAATTAACAGGTTCCATGGTCTGAAAAAGTTTGAAAATCTCTATTCTAGCTCTACTAAAAGATGCTCTTGAACTGAAAATTATGTATGTTAATCATTAGCAAAGGTCAGGCCACGTGCACACTAAATGTTTACAATGCTATTTTTGAACACACATCCTGCCTGGAAGGAGAAGTTTGACAATTTATCAGTAGTTTGGACAAGGTTACCACTTATGTCTGCTAGTAGGAACATGTAGGTGCAAAACAAAATTTCTCTCTCTCTCTCTTGTGCTTAGCTGCAGCTTTACATTTACTTTTGTATAGCTGATTACTATTGATTTATTTGTAAACCTTGTACTTTCATATTATTGGAAATTATTGTTGTATACAATATACAACTTTACCTATTTGTATCCACATCTGGTTTAAAGGATAAGCTTTTCATCTTGCATCTGTCTGAAGATGTTCTCTACTTACAGTGGCTGATATTTAAAATTCAGTTTGGACATTTTATGCCATTTTAGGAAATTAACTGACCACTGAATATAATAAGCAAGAATAGCTGGATTATGATAGTTAGAATGGTTTAAAAACTTATTCAGCTATAATTTTCAGTGTTTTAATAGCATACCTCTTTTATTTGGGGAAACATAAATATCTAGAAAAGTTCATTATTTAGAGTCACAGTGAGTGATTTCCCAAAGTAGCCTTGAAGATGACTTCCAGGAGCATTTTTAAGGGCAAAATCCATACATATCACTGTCAGTCTTCTGAAGAATTTTAACTTGAGTAAGTGTTGGCTTTTAACACTGGCACCAGTTTTAATAAAAACTAACATTCTGGCTGACCTATTCAAAATAATTTCATCTCGTCTGTCTTGAATGGATGTTGATCAATTCAAAAGTATGTGCCAAATAATATTTATTTATATATTTCTCTAAGCTTACCTATAGTGCAAGTCTCTCAGAATAAAGGGCATACTTTAAAAAATAAAGTGTGTATCTAAAACATCTAAAACAATGTTAAGAACAGCTTTAGCAATAATGGTTGTCACACAAGTACAGCAAAGTAAAACTAAGCCATGCTTTATATACATCATATAGTACAAATTATGCCTGCATAATTTTATTTCTAATGTATTTGCCTGGCATAAAAATCAGTCAAGGTTGGATGGGGGCCAATAAATTGGAACTGAATTCTGGATGGGTAGATCTCAAGGCTGGAAAATATAGTCTACCTGTTCTGTATGGAACCGTTATGTAATCTTGTGTTACTCATTGTCACTAAAGGCCCTTTTTCTTCTTTCCAACATCCATTAATGCTGGCTTCACATTCTTTCTGTGCCCTAACCTTTGAAAAAGTGCCTAAGACAATAAGAAAATATTGAGTTCCTTCAGCCTGATTTCTATGCATAGTTCTGATCAGTTTCTTCAGAGCAAAACAATCCAGATTTGTCCTGGAAAAGGTAGCTCATTGTATTTGATTGTGTCATTTAAAATTATGCCTTGTGTGCTATGCTTTTGAGGGAAACACTGGAAAGAGGATACAACCATTTAATTAAGGTAACTTTTTTTCCTGAACTTAATTGTTGTATATGTGACCCTGGGCAGCTCACAAAGCTAAAACACAAAAAACAATACAAAAAAATAACCAAAATCATACAACAAAACCTGCCTTTTCCCAGTTTCATCTGCCCAACCCACCAATCGGGGAGGCAGGGTATGTTACAGGTCTACCCTATTAAGGAAGTCCATCTAGTGGGACCGAGAAGGAGAGCCTTCTCCATGGGGGCTCCCTCCCTGTGGAACATCATCCCTGCAGTGATAAGACTGGCCACCACCTTGATGCTCTTCTGCAAGGCCCTGAAGGCATGGTTTTGCCAATGGGCCTGAGGATCCCAGGTCAACTCGGAGCCCATCAAATGGCTAGTGTTGTGATGGACTGGAATGGTGGGAGGGGAGTAAAGAATGTGCTCTCATCTCCAGAGGAGC